TATCAACATCCTACACCAGAGCACTACATTTGTTATAATCTGTAAACCTACACTGACACATTGTTATTACACAAAGTCCATAGTTCACATTAGGGCTCTAAGTATTGTATATTCTATGGGTTTGGACAAACATATAATGATATGTATCCATCATTATAGTTACATATGGAATAATTTCACTGCCCTAAAAATCCTCTATGCCTGGCCAATTCTTCCTCCCTCCCCACTAATGCCTGGAAACCACTGATCTTTTTACTGCCTCCATGGTTTTGCCTTTTCCAGAATGTTATGTAGTTAGAATCATGTAGTATCTAGCCTTTTCATATTGGCTTCTTTCACTTAATAATATGCATGTAAGGTTCCTCCATGACGTGTTAGCTCATTTCTTTTTAGTGCTTAATAACATCCCATTGTCTGGATACACTACAGTTTATTTATCCACTCGTCCACTGAAGGACATCTTGATTGCTTCCAAGTTTGGGCAATTATGAATAAAGCCGCTATAAACATCCCTGTGCACGTTTTTGTGTAAACACAAGTTTTTAACTCCTTTGGGTAAAAACCAAGGAGCATGATTGCTGGTTCATATGCTAAGAGTATGTTTAGTTTTGTAAGAAAGTACCAAGCTATCTTCCAAAATGGCTGTATCATTTTGCCATTACCACTAGCAATGAATAGAGTTCCTATTGCTCTACATCCTCACCAGAATTTGGCGTCAGCGTTTTGGATTTTGGCCACTCTAATAGGTGTGCAATGGTATCTAATTATTTTAATTTGCAATTCCCTAATGATATATGACATGGAGCATCTTTTTATATGCTGATTTGCCATCTGTATATCTTCTTTGGTGGGTTATCCTTAAGGTTTTTGACCCTTTTTAAAAATATTGGGTTGTTTGTTTTCTTGCTAAGTTTTAAGCATTCTTCATATATTTTGGATAAGTCTTTTATCAAATAGGTCTTTTGCAAATATTTTCCCCCAGTATGTGTGTTATCTTATTATTCTCTTGACATTGTCTTTTGCAGAGCAACATGTTTTTAATTTTAATACAGTACAGCTTATCAATTATTTCTTTCACAATTGTGCCTTTGATATTGTGTCTATAAAGTCATCACCATACCTAAGCTCTTCTAGATTTTTTCTTATGTTACTTTCTAGAAGATTTATAGTTTTGCGTTTTACATTTAGGTCTGTGATCTATTTTGAGCTAATTTTTGTGAAGGCTTTAATGTCTGTGTCTAGATTCGTTTTTTCTTTTTTGCATGCAGATGTCCAGTTGTTCCAGCACCACTTGTTGAATGGACTCTATTTTCCTCATTGTCTTGCCTTTCCTCCTTTGTCAAAGATGAGTGGACTGTATTTATGTGGGTCTGTTTCTGGGTTCTCTACTCTGTCCCACTGATGTATTTGTCTATTCTTTCACCAACACTCTGTTTTGATTACTGTAGCTTTGGAGTAAATCTTGAAGTTGGGTAGTGTCAGTCTTCCAACTTTGTTCTTCAATATTGTGTTGGGAAAGAGTTTTTAGACATGGGAAAAGACTAGAGCATTCCTATATGATGAGGAGAACTTATCAATATGCAGGTTAAGTTGAGCAGAGAAGGAAAAACTTTAAATCCAACATCTTTTTGTCAAAAGAAAATAGGCTCCAGTATACATTTCCAGATAATATCCCTCTCACCATTAATATTAGACCTAATTATTTGAGTTTTGTATTAGAAATTTAATAATTTAATGTTGATTTTAAGAAATTTTTAATAATGGAGATACTATATGTTAAAATATCTGTTTAAAGTATGAACCCTCTAATTGCTTTACCCAAATTTAATGGGAAATAAAACTAAAAATTGTTATCAAAAATAAATTCCATTCTTGGTCATATTCTCATTATAATTCATAGCCTTGTTGCTCCCTTCCTGTTATTATAAAAACCAACTCAATGGTCAAATTTTTCATGACTTGATTTATTATATATGAGGAGAAGTGAAAAAGAGGTGACCTGGCAATACTTTCTGCCTCCATTTCCAGGAGGAGTTGGAGAGAATGCAAGAGACAACAGTTAGCTTATACTCTCACAAATAAAGAATACAAAATCTAAAGCTGTTTCCTTTCCTTCCTGCAGAAAGGGTAAGAATCATTTGCAGTGTTTTAAAAAATATGATAAAGGGAAACTCCACTTACGTAGGCTATATAAAACAAGTATATATTTTTTTATTTGGATATTAAATTTCACTGGTATATAGAGTGAGATTTATTATAGTAGCAATGTATACCTATTTAAAAATGAGGTTCCAGGAAATCCAAATTGTTTAATTCTGATTATGAAGCATTTTGGTGCATTCTCCCATGAACCTGAGCACACAGACACACACACACACGCACGCACATGAGGTATATGATGATCACTATATTCTGTGAGGTTGACTAAATTGAAATTTTTATAAGTACTATCATAAGCATAAGAGCCAGGAATAGAAAAATACAATTAATATCATAACAAAATTATAAATGGATTCAGTGACATGGCACAATTTGAGGCAAAAAGAATCATTAATAATAATCTCCTTCTACCTCTTCTCCCCAAAGATAATATATTTCTTAAAATGTAAGTAATATTAAGCAATAATTAGCAATCATTTGCTAAGGGAATTTTTTCTTTTATTAAAAAAGTAAAAGGAAAAATTCAATTATTATGCTTTTGGCTATTCTCATTAGTAATATTAGTTTAAGATGCTCTGCACTGTTAATCAGAAAATTTGCTAAATTCTACTGCTATTACTATGTCCTGCTACAGTCATCAAAACCACTGTTGCTATGAAGTTATTACTAAGTTCCAAGTCCAGGCAAGTTGCTAATGTCACAGCATGAAAGTAGAAAAAAATTAATAAATATTTGTGAAGAAATACGAGTGAGTACATGAACTTTTAGTGGGTGTTTACTATGAGGCAAGCACCATGCTGAATATTCTTACATGCCACCAAGCTACCGAATTTAATTCTTATACATTGTCTTTAACCTTATCACAATTTACCCCCCTAGTTTATAGATGAGTAAACTGAGATACAGATAATTTAACTATCAATGCCATTCACCAGACATTTGAACCCAACTCTTCTGATTTAAAAACATAATCAACATACTCTTCATTCCTCTGTGCTAATTTAAGCATGTTAATTATTTTGTCACAAATAACCCGTTTACCTTTACACAGTAAAGGCAATGGAAAAATTAATAGCGAGTTGATCATTTTCTTCTTGAAGTCATTGTATTGACAGTAATTCAATTTCTATAAACAGTTTAGAATTTTTTTGGAAGCAGAAAATTTTACATCATTTTTTACCCAAGTAAAGATGTTGGCTTTATGCAGCTTTTAGAAGAGGATTGATTGTGCTTAGGTCTGAAGTATGCTTAGGTTTTCCACGGTGCTGAATCTCCCCTGAAGTAGTATCAGGTTATGTTGCTGCTAAAGTAAACAAATTTCCTGCTGCGAGCAGAATTTTTTTTCAGGTTTCCATAGCTGACATTTTTCTCCTGAACCAGCAACAGGAAAAGAATAAACAGAAGATATTCACTGTGATAAGAACTCAAAGGCAACTTCCAGACACAAAATATCTTTAAAGTTGTTACTCTTCTTTTTTATACAGTTAGAGATTTAGAGAGTTAAGAGGAAAAATAGGCATGGCATTTATTGTATTCATTAAATTAATTAATCAGAGCCTTTTAAGGCCAATCTAAATCAATCTTAATTCAAGTGGATGCTCATGATATGTATTTCTCCTTCTTTCTTTTCCCCTAAATGTCTCTAAAATACTGATTATTGGGATACTCTTGATAGATAATAAGCTGAGAAGAAAGTCTTAGGAACAAAAGGAATTAGACAGTTCTCAGAGTTAGTGAAATACACAGTATCATCTCAAATATTTCCTGGCAAGTTAGGACTGGGGTGTAACCTCATTGACGGTATCATCATATCTGGATAAAAGACAGAATAAGAAGAAAGTTTGGTCAGTGATGAAAGCGTTAGAAAATGGAGGAACAAGAACTATATTTGTGTTGATGCAGAAGAAGGGTGTGTCCGCTGCTTATCAACTCACCATGTCATTATGAGGCTTCCCACGTAGTAAGTGTCAGCTGTGAAACAGCTCCATCTGCCTGAAAAATTCAGCTTCTCCCTGCAATGGGATAAGTTTATATTTCAGTTCATGTACCTGCTTTTTTTTTTTTTTTGCGGTACGCGGGCCTCTCACTGTTGTGGCCCCTCCCGTTGCAGAGCACAGGCTCCGGACGCGCAGGCTCAGCGGCCATGGCTCATGGACCTAGCCGCTCTGCAGCACGTGGGATCTTTTCAGAGCGGGGCACAAACCCGTGTTCCCTGCATTGGCAGGCGGACTCCCAACCACTGGGCCACCAGGGAAGCCCAATGTACCTGCTTTCTTGAGCACTGTCAACATGAGTCAGGATCCTTGAGATAGGTTAAGTTTAGGGCACTGACGATATTGTCTTTGTCAGCCTGTGAAAGTCGAGAGCTGTAACCTGCACCTTGGTAAATTCACCAAGGTAATTCACTTGGCTAGACAGTCCTCCCTGATAATCCTTCAGCATCAGTAGATGAGCATTTCATCATTCAGTAGATGAACACATTTTTCTCTGGGAAGATTTATACTCTGTGGGTTTTTAAAAACAGTATGGTTGGTTTCCAAAATATTCTCTAAAAGCCAACATTGTGAGTCCTTTGGGAATCTTCTGTGTTCAGGGTTAATTGCTGTGTTAGACAAATATTTCTTGAATTAGTAAGTGAATGAATGACTAAGAGATAATTAAACAACAATAGAAAATAACTAGATGGGAAATGGAAAAAAATTGCTAATTCCAAAACCAATGATGCATTAGCACAAAATCACCTACTTGTTAGCTTTCAGCCACCATGATACTATAATCTTAAATACACCTGGATAATGATTGCATTTGTAAGTCTGGTTTTATTACCATCTCCCATTTAGGTTGTGAAAGTTGGGCTATGGGCTTGAAAGTGAAGAGTGAGAGAAAGAAGTTTGGAATACTTTGGGATCCAGCTCATCACACGTAAGAATTTTAAATGATCCATAAGTTAAAAAAGAGTGGGAGTGTTAAAAGAGATTTCGGTTCCTGCTTCCTTGAAACATTTTACATTTTGGTTCTCTTTCTCATTATTTTTTTTTTCAGTTTGAATATTTCTTAATTGAAGTATAGTTGATTTACAGTGTTGTGTTTATTTCTGCTGTACAGCAAAGTGATTCAGTTATATATACATTTTTATATTCTTTTCTATTATGATTTATCATAGGATGTTGAATATATTTCTCTGTGCTATACAGTAGGACCTTGTTGTTTATCCATCCTATATATAAAAGCCTACGTCTGCTAATCCCAACCTCCCATTCCATCCATCCCCCACCCTCCTATTCCATCCATCCCCCAACCTCTTCCCCCTTGGCAACCACCAGTCTGTTCTCTATGTCCCTGATTCTGTTTGTTTCATAGAAAGGTTCATATGTGTCATGTTTTAGATTCCACATATAAGTGATATCATATGATATTTATCTTTTTCTGTCTGACTTACTTCACTTAGTATGACAATCTCTAGGTCCATCCATGTTGCAGCAAAAGGCATAATTTCATTCTTTTTTATGCCTGAGTAGTATTCCATTGTATATATGTACCACATCTTTATCCATTCATCTGTTGATAGACATTTAAGTTGTTTCCATGTCTTGGCTATTGTGAATATTGCTATGAACATAGGGGTGCATGTATCTTTTTGAATTATAGTTTTGTCTGGATATATGCCCAGGGGTGGGATTGATGGATCACATGGTCATTCTATTTTTAGTTTTCTGATAAAGCTCCATACTGTTTTCCACAGTGGCTGCACAAACTTACATTTCCACCAACAGTGTTGGAAGGTTCCCTTTTCTCCACACCCACTCCAGCATTTGTTATTTGTAGACTTTTTAATGATGGCCATTCTGACTGGTATGAGGTGATACCTCATTGTAGTTTTGATTTGCATTTCTCTAATAATTGGTGATGTTGAGCATTTTTTCTTGTGCCTATTAGCCATCTGTATTTCTTCCTGTGAGAAATGTCCATTTAGGTATTCTGCCCATTTTTCAGTTGGGTTGTTTTTGTTGTTGAGTTGTATGAGCTGTTTGTATATTTTGGAAATTAAGCCCTTGTCGATAACATTGTTTGCAAATATTTTCTTTCATTCTGTAGGTTGTCTTTTCACTTTTTGCTTTGTTGATGGTTTCCTTTGCTATATAAAAGCTTGTAAGTTTGATTAGGTCCCATTTGTTTATTTTTGTTCTTATTTCTATTGCCTTAGGTGACTGACCTAAGAAAACATTGGTACAATTTATGTCAGAGAATCTTATGTTGGAGAAATTTTTGCCTGTGTTCTCTTCTAGGAATTTTATCTTGTCATGTCTTATGTTTAAGCCTTTAAGCCATTTCGAGTTTATTTTTGTGTATGGTGAGGGGGTGTGTTCTAACTTCACTGATTTACATGTGGCTGTCCAACTTTCCCAACACCACTTGCTGTAGAGACTCTTTCCCACTGTATATTCTTGCCTCCTTTGTCAAACATGACTTAACCATAGGCGTGTGGGTTTATTTCTGGGCTCTCTATTCTGTTCCATTGATCCATATGTCTGTTTTTGTGCCAATACCACACTGTTTTGATTACTGTGGCCTTGTAGTATTGTCTGAAGTCTGGGAGGGTTATGCCTCCTGCTTTGTTTTTATTCCTCAGGCTTGCTCTAGTGATTCTGGGTCTCGTATGGTTCCATATGAATTTTAGGATTATTTGTTCTAATTCTGTGAAAAATGTCACGAGTAATTTGATAAGGATTGCATTAAATGTGTAGGTTGCTTTGGGTAGTATGGCCATTTTGACAATATTAATTCTTCAAATCCTAGAGCCTGGGACATCTTTCCATTTCTTTGAATCATCTTCCATTTCCTTTATTAATGTTTTATAGTTCTCAGTGCATAAGTCTTTCACCACCTTGGTCAGGTTTATTCCTAAGTATTTTGGGGGGTGTGATTTTAAAAGGTATTGTTTTTTACATTCCCTTTCTGATATTTCATTGTTATTGTAAAGAAATGGAACCGATTTCTGTATGTTAATCTTGTATCCTGCTATCTCGCTGAATTCGTTTTATCAGTTCTAGTAGTTTTTGTGTGGAGTCTTTAGGATTTTCTATATATAGTATCGTATCCTCTGCATATAATGACAATTTTATCTCTTTCCTTCCAATTTAAATACCTTTTTTTTTCTTTTTCTTGTTTGATTGATTGCTGTGGCTAGGACTTCCAATACTATGTTGAACACAGAAGAAGTGAGAATGGGCATCCTTGTCTTGTTCCAGATTTTAGGGGAAGGCTTCATTATTTCTTTTTTTGGGAAAGAAAAGAAAAAAAATACAATTGTCTATTCAAGGACAAGTACAGCAGTTTCTTGAAATTGGGAAGCTCCAGTTAAACATCATTGACAGTGATTTCTAACTGACACAGTTATTTGGCAGAAAAGTAGATTGGTTAATCTGTGAATTAGTGTAGGTGAGAAATTCTGGTTTGGCAGTAGCACTTACTGTATTTTTCTAGATAACATGTGTTTTATGGAGGTTAAGAGCAACTAATTCTCATTCTAGGCACAAAAATGAGCAATTTGTAGTTCCTTATTTAAATGTTCTTTTTTTTTAGGCAAGTAATGAATTTCCAACCAATCACTTGACTTTGTAAGTTCCTGAAATCTTGTTCTGATTAACACAATATCAATAACACAGTGGGACAATCTCACATTCTCAAGATTGCTCAGATGGTCCAGTCCCCTTAGGACTATATTGTGATAGAGAACTGTAGAATTAATGTAGCCCTGTGACCAGCTCACGAATATATACATTTGTTCAATAATGTTAATGAAAACTACCTTTGAGTCTTCTTTTCGTTGAGCTTAGAAAAGAAATCATTCATCAGATGAATAACTGAATACATGTCTCTGAGTGTGTGTAAATAAATTCTAATAAATGTACCACATCCACCCTAGCAGCTACAATTTGGGGTACATCTTAGTTAAGTTTGCTGTAGTTCATTGTCATTGCCAGGTTCCATGCATTTTTTTTTTTTCTCACAAAAGCCAATAAAGTAAAACAGCTCTTACTTTACAAAGTAAGAAACCAATGTGAGGGCTCTGACAACTGTAAACTATGCCCATTCAATTACACCTTTGAAAATGGACTCCTCTGTGGGTCCATGGACCTGGTAGAACCGCTCTGAGACAGACCTGGGTCAGGACTGCACTGTTACCTGACCTCGTAGCTTCATGATGTGCCTTATATCCCTGGGTATCAGCATCATGAGCACTGTGTCTGACAGTCCTGTAGTTATAATTAATCCAAGAGCAAGGAATGTCTTTCCACTTCTTTGACTCATCTTCAGTTTCCTTTATCAATGTTGTGTAATTCTCAGCATAGAAATCTTTCATCACCTGGGTCAGCTTTATTCCTAGGTTTGTTTTTTATGCAATTAAAAAAAATTTTTTTTTTGCTTTCTCTTTCTGATATTTCATTGTTAGTGTAAAGAAATGCAACAGCTCTGTTTATATTAATCTTGCATCATACTACCTTGCTGAATTTGTTTATCAGTTCTAGTAGCTTTTGTGTGGAGTCTTTATGGTTTTCTATATAGAGTATCATGTCATTGGTATATAGTGACAATTTTACCTCTTCCCATTTGATTTGGATAACTTTCCTTTTTCTTGTCTGATTGCTGTGGCTAAGACTGCCATACTATGTTGGTTAGAAGTGATGAGAGTGGGCCTCTGTGTCCTGTTCCAGAATTTAGTGGGAAGGCTTTCAGCTTTTTACCATTGAGTATTATTGGCTGTGGGTTTGTCATAAATGGCTTTTATTGTGTTGAGATATATTCCCTCTGTGCCCACTGTGGTAAGAGTTTTTATCATGAATGGATGTTTAATTTTTATCAAGAGCTTTTTCTGCATCTATTGAGATAATCATGTGGTTTTTGTCTTTTGTTGCTGTTGTATAGCACATTGAGTGATTTGCATATGTTGAAACATCCTTGTGACCCTGGAGTGAATCCAAGTTGATCACAGTGTATGATCTTTTTTACGTGTTGTTGGATTTGGTTTGCTAATATTTTGTTGAGGATTTTTACCTCTATATTCATCAGAGATATTGGCCTGTAATTTTCTTTTTGGTAGTTGTCTGGTTTTGATATCTGGCAATAGTGGCTCCATAGAATGACTTGGGGAGTGTTCCCTCTTCTTCAATCTTTTGGAAGAATTTGAGAAGTATTGATATAACTTCTTTGTTGAATGTTTGGTAGAATTTACCAGTGAAGCCATCTGCTCCTGGACTTTTGTTTGCAGGGTTTATTTTATTTTATTATTTTTTTTACATCTTTATTGGAGTATAACTGCTTTACAATGGTGTGTTAGTTTCTGCTTTATAACAAAGTGAATCACTTATACATATACATATGTTCCCAAATCTCTTCCCTCTTGTGTCTCCCTCCCTCCCACCCCTCTAGGTGGTCACAAAGGACTGAGCTGATCTCCCCGTGCTACGCGGCTGCTTCCCACTAGCTATCTATTTTACGTTTGGTAGTGTATATATGTCCACGCCATTCTCTTGCTTTGTCACAGCTTACCCTTCCCCCTCCCCATATCCTCAAGTCCGTTCTCTAGTAGGTCTGTGTCTTTATTCCTGTCTTGCCCCTAGGTTCTTCATGACATATTTTTTTCTTAAATTCCATATATATGTGTTAGCATACAGTATTTGTCTTTCTCTTTCTGACTTACTTCACTCTGTATGACAGACTCTAGGTCCATTCACCTCATTACAAATAGCTCAATTTCATTTCTTTTTATGGCTCAGTAACATTCCATTGTATATATGTGCCAAATCGTCTTTATCCATTCATCCGATGATGGACATTTAGGTTGTTTCCATCTCGTGGCTATTGTAAATAGAGCTGCAATGAACATTTTGGTACATGACTCTTTTTGAATTATGGTTTTCTC